CATTTGAGAGACCATTCACGGCTGTTCAGCTGATTCAACATCCCTGATATTCTACTCTTCTATTTAACAACTTTTCCCCAGTTGTTAACTCACCAGATCATGACTTTGCTTGAAAAAGCAAACCCAAATTCACTAGGGAGAAGTTTCTACCAATCCTGTTTAACCTACCACAGTTGGGTTAAAGAACAAGATTGTGTAATTTATAGGGATGTTAGTCCCCAGTTTCTGCTAATAATGCCAAGAAAACTAGGTTGGATGAGCAGTGAAGCCTGGTTAGTAAGGCAGGCAGAAAACATAGTAATAACTTTTTGTTCTCTTGTCTTTTTTTTTTAAATGTAAACCCTTTGTTCACAGATTTTATTAATCCTTGGTTCATGACAGTCTCATCATTGATCTCTGAATGCTTCGCTTTATTCATTCATTTATAAGTAATATCATCTATGAAAATAATTTCCAAATAGAAACTATAACATAATCAGTATTGATCTTTATGCATCTCTCACATTCAGTCTCCTGTCTCTACCACTCATGAGAATCTTTGAAAATCCAGGTAGGGATTAAAGAGTTAGGCTCAGTTGCACAGAGGGGTAACATCCACTCTCTTTAGTGTGGTTTTCAGACCAGGTCTGAAGGGACCAGATTTAGCCTGCCTTCCACCCTGATCTAACGTCTCTCATCACCATCTCTACTTTTGGGAAGAGCACTTGGTGCTTCCCACACTTGCTATGAACTTTCACACTGTTGTTCTCACTGTTCTTCCACCTGGTGCCATTGTTCCCTTCAAGGCCCCACACAAACCTTACCTCCCTGGGAAAATCTTCCTCCACATATTCGTCAGTTTCTTTAGTGTTCCCACATCACTTTGTGTTTTTAATATAGTATGTATCATATACTCTTTTTTTTGAGATAGAGTCTTACTGTGTTGCCCAGGCTAGAGTGAGTGCTGTGGCGTCAGCCTAGCTCACAGCAACCTCAAACTCCTGGGCTCAAGCAATCCTCCTGCCTCAGCCTCCCAAGTAGCTGGGACTACAGGCATGCGCCACCATGCCCGGCTAATTTTTTCTATATACGTTTTTAGTTGGCCAATTAATTTCTTTCTATTTTTAGTAGAAGTGGGGTCTTACTCTTGCTCAGGCAGGTTTTGAACTTCTAACCTTAAGCGATCCACCACCTCAGCCTCCCAGAGTGCTAGGATTACAGGTGTGAGCCACCGCACCTGGCCGTATCATATACTCTTTATAAGTATTTGCTATCATTTGGTCAAGAAAATATTTGAATGCCTATTGTGCATCAGGCAGTGTTCTAGTTGCAGGGGAGACAGCAGTGAGCACATTAAATTAAAAAACCAGAAGAATTTCCTGTTTCTGGCTTACATGTTAGCGTTCCCTCCCTCCCTCCTTCCCTCCGATAATACTGGAATTTTCATATTCACCATTGTATCCCTGGAAACGGACAGATAGTAGGTGTATTATATATTTTTGTTGAATTATTTGACCACCTACTATTAATATTTGCTAAATTCTGTGCTAATGTTACAGGAAGGATCACAGAGAAGAAGATAGGAATTTTCCTTTCCCATAAGCAGCTATGTAGAGAAGGTGAATGAAGCTGACAGTGCGGTGTTGTAAGGAGCAGAAAGGGCATTCACAGTTCTATTGCCATAGCACAGAAAGCATTTAGGTTTCGTGTCCTCAGAGAACAGTATTATGGCTAGAACCCAGGCAGCTAGAACCTGCCTCTGGCAGTGATAGGGGAAACCAGAAGAGAAAGGTAACTGGGTTTCTTAGAAACCACAGAGTAGGCAGATACCATGTGGACCCTGTGACAAACTTCTTGCAGTCCCCTCTTCTGTACGGCCTCCCAGTTCTTACCTCATCTCATCAAATGTGGCCTTTATTATCATTTAATTTGGCACTTCTGTTCTTTAAAAATCTTGGAAGACATGAGTTAGTGCAGACCACAGCACCTTTAATCAAGAATCACATTGTGGCCTGGAGCGCTGGCTCACGCCTGTAATCCTAGCACTCTGGGAGGCCGAGGCGGGTGGATCGCTTGATGTCAGAAGTTTGAGACCAGCCTGAGCAAGAGCAAGACCCCATCTCTACTAAAAATAGCAACAAATTAATTGGCCAACTAAAAATGTATAGGAAAAATTAGCCAGGCATGGTGGTGCATGCCTGTAATCCCAGTTACTCGGCAGGCAGAGGCAGCAGGATCGCTTGAGCCCAGGAGTTGGAGGTTGCTGTGAGCTAGGCTGACGTAGGGCACTCTAGCCAAGACAACAGAGTGAGACTCTGCCTCAAAAAAAAAAAAAAACAAGGACTGGTGGGAATGTGTGTGTGCTGCAGTGATGGCAAAGCTACTGGAGGGGACAGCAAAGTGGAGTTTGGCAAGGAGGGCTTTGGAGATAGTTTTTCTTGTCAGGGACTACAGCATGGTTTGGGGGCGGGGCGAGATTTCTCCCTAGGGAGAAGGACATGTGATGGCTTAGAGGAAACAGACAGTGGTTGGGTTGTCACTGTGGTTGTTGACACCATCAAGCCTTTCTAGATAGCTGGCAACAGCCAGAGGGAGCAGCAGCTTCTGAGGGCAGAACACTGGACTGGGGGACCTGGGTTTCACTTGGCTCTCTCATGGATTTGCTGCATGCCCTGGAAAAAGTCAGTATCCTTTCTGGACCTAGTTTCTTTATCTTTAAATTGAGAGAGTTGAAATATGTGGTCTATAATTTACCTTCCAGCTCTAGCATTCAGTGATTCTGGCTTTGTCTATCAAACGAGGTGGCCTGGGGCTTTTTGCTTCAAGGATTTATTAATAACTTCTGTTATAATTCCAGTTTACTTCAGAGTCTTGCCCCAGTGATCAGGTTTAAAATATGAGCCATTCAAATCTTCACTTGCCTGGTTTCTCGTTTAGTCCTGCTTTTTCCTTGTTCAGTGAGTCCTTCAGAACCTTTCCCCTGCACTGTTGCCTGTGCAGACATTACCCCTCCCCCTCCTTGCCACTAGAGTTTGTCTTATATACACAGCAGCCAGATTCATCTCACTGCCTCTCTTCTACAAAAATAAACTGTAGTGTATCTCCATTGTCCTCCAAAGAAAGACCAAACTCATTAGCTTGGTGTCCAGTACCGGCTGTCAATCTTAGCTCACATTACTCACCTTCACGTAGTCTTCAGAATACTTAACTGAACCTCACAGCCTCTTGGCACCTTTGCTGTATGCCCTGCCTCTCCCAGTTGTCACACAGTCACTATTTTCTCATCTTAGTTGCTGCCACCTTTGCGAAATCTCCTCAGCTCCAATAGCACCCACAGCGCCACTCCCATACCAAAAATACTTGTTGCTTTGTTTTCATTCTCTGTGCCATTTTAGCTCTCTTAAGTAAATTAAGCTCCCTAGTACTTAGGAAGTACTGTTTTACACAGGGTAGGTACCCAGTAAATATTTGTTGAATGAATTCTGGCTAATTATAGATAAAATCCTTGCTAACTCTGATTGGTGGAGTTTCTTATTTTACTGAGTAACACCTAACTGGTATGTAGGAAAGAAGTCTGCCCACCGGAATTAATAAGGTAATATAAGAATAAGAACATTTGCCATACATGTGTTAGCAATTCCCAAGTTTGTGTTTAAGACAAGCAAAATGTTTTCAGGCTTGAGCCTTGTCTCTAATTTTGAGTATTCGTCTATCTGAGCTTTCGATGGGACTCCTTCCTTTTTAGTTGAACCTGCCTCAGAGTGGTATTAATAGTTTATAGTTTTTTGTCCTGTGAGCAATTTTTTGTCCTGTGAGCATTTCCAAACTTAGGAATTTTAAAAAGTGAAATAACAAAATAAAATAATAAATGGAACAATTAAAATGATTTACAAAGGAACTTTATTAATTCTATGCCAGAAGTAGAATACCTTCTTTAGCATAAACTACCATAATTGGTGTTAGATCAGAAGGTACATCTTTTTCATATGTCCTCTACTTTCAGAACCATTAGTAAGATTCTCAAACATATGATTTTCCTGTGAATCATGGATCTGGTTATGAGGTAGTCAAAACATAAGTGTAGCAGACTCTTGGGAAATGGTTTGGGTGCAGAACATAGCATCCTGATTCAAAGAATGTGGGCAAGCATTTGTAGTAAAAGACTTGATGACTTAGAAAGTATTCTATCATCTAATAAAATATCTGCTTATATTTTGAGGAGTTGAGAGAAATAGAGAAATAGGATCACCTAAAGTTTCCCACTTTTCACGTTGTATTTAATGTCCTCCGTCCAAACTAATCTCTGTAGACTGGCGAGACTGGCAAAATCTTTACATTGCCTACTTGAACCCTAAGGAATGCAAACACATCTTACTTAAGATTAGACCATTAACATAGACATCACCTCATTTCTCTCCAGATGATGTGAGATTAATCTTAGTTCTAGCAGTCTCCTGTCATCAGTCATAGTGTCTCCAAAATAAAAATTGCTGTATCGCTTACTACCAATGCTGTTTAGTTCAAAATACAGTGGTTCTTTAAAGCTGTTATAGATGGGTTTTCTGTTGAGACTAAGTAAATGAAGAATACTTCATAATCAGTTACATCATTACTCCTTTATTTTCTCTTGCCATTAAAATAACAATACAGCTTTTTTATATTTATACTTTATTATATAGTCAGAGTTAAGCTCTTTGATTATGAAACTAGCATTGCATTATAAAAAAGAGATATTTGTGTTTCTACTAGTATGCAGGTAAAAGGAATGGGGCTTTGTAAATAGCAGTGGGAAAAATAACCCCAGGGAAAAAACAAAAAAGCTGAACTCCAGTTGCTCTTCTAGCTGTGACTGTGGGAGGGAAGGGAGAGTTGATCCCAGGGAGTCCTTGTGCTCCACTGACCATTCAGTTGCTTGGGACTTGTGGTAGTAGTGGTGGTGGTGGTAGTGAGGGGCAGGTGGATTTTAAGAAATCTCTGTGTTTAATTTCTCAGTTTCCCTCTCTCTTTCTCCCCTCCCTCAGGAGTTAGAAGCAGCTCTTCACAGAGATGATGTGGAGTTTATCAGTGACCTGATTGCCTGCCTGCTTCAGGGCTGCTATCAACGAAGGGATATCACGTGAGTGATCCTGACTTTTACGAAGTGTTTCTTGCACAGGGAACTCATTAACTAGTCATAGTGATGTTTCCTGTTTCTTATAACAAACAAGAACTGACCATTAGCCATTACGTAACATTGTAGGCTGAGCATATACAAACAGATTCTCAGGCTAAGCCCTGTGTTTGGCTCATTCTGCAGTTGAGTTTTTATTCTGTTACAATCTTTGAGTTTATTTTACTCTCATGTGTACCACTTACCCTTGGCTACACCAGCTAACATATTTGAGTATAGAATTTCTTCCTCTTGTATTTGCCTTTTTCTGAGTTTTGGTTGTATTATTGGTAAAATATTGCCTAACAAATTAAAATAGATTTTACTACATTTCTGCTAGTTGAATGTCTTCTGCTGTTCACACAACTGGCAGTAATAGCATAATTAGCTTGGAGCCTCTAGGTTCCCTTACCCCATAACTGCCAAGTACACTGCTCTCCCGTACCTTTGAGACATGTAGAAACCTGAACCAAAATTTTATCTGTGTGGACAAATAAAGGAGCTTCCTGATATGACCTCTCCCCTTGTTTTCACCCTAACTTGATATATGCCTTTTCTTTGTACATTTCTATACAGAACAGAACTACAGAGCAAACTCACAAACGGGAGATACAACGAGTTTCCCAGTCTCTTACCCTCAGATGCCACGTAGGGGTTTTGGTTGTCATGGTTTATATTTTTCAGACAGTTAAGGATGATATCTCAAATATTTTTGTTCTTATGAATTCAATCTGTTAGGGCTAGGAAAGTATACCCAATGTTAATGTGCAATAAACTTACATACAAGGTAAGAAAGAGATTGACTAAATGCCATTTTTCTCAGGATGGAAGTCTATATTCCTTAGGGGAATGTTATTGCTTCTGAACTCAAAAGAATGATTATTGGCTGGGTGCCAACAATCCTAGCACTCTGGGAGGCCGAGGCAGGCGGATTGCTCGAGGTCAGGAGTTCAAAACCAGCCTGAGCAAGAGCAAGACCCCATCTCTACTATAAATAGAAAGAAATTAATTGGCCAACTAATATATATATAGAGAGAGAGAGAGAAAGAGAGAGAAAATTAGCTGGGCGTGGTGGCTCATGCCTGTAGTCCCAGCCACTCGGGAGGCTGAGGCAGCAGGATTGCTTGAGCTCAGGAGTTTGAGGTTGCTGTGAGCTAGGCTGACAGCACGGCACTCACTCTAGCCTGGGCAAGAAAGCGAAACTCTGTCTCAAAAAAAAAAAAAAGATTGTTCCCCCTAAAATACTCAGGTCGTATTTATAAATACAAATACAGGTAAAATAAATTTTAGTATTTTTTCTTCCATTCTCTATTTAGGATGTAGACTTGGGAGTTTATGTGTTTTTTAAGTACTGTTGTATTTGTATTGTGTGTGTGATTTCACATTGTAATATCTGGAATTTTTTTCATTATAGTGATTATTTTTCTTGTAACCAACTTTTCTCTAATTGTGATTGTCCATTAATCCAGTCTGGTAGTTGACAGTTATGTCTAGCTTTTAACCATTATAAACATGATTCATAGCTTTATGTAGAATTTACTAGGTGTGCAACCTTTTATCTTCTTAATATAAGTTTATGGAATTGCCATCACTTGGTCAAAAGAAATGCCTGGTTATCTTTTTTTTCTTTTTCTTTCTTTTTTTTTTTTTAAGTAAAATGGCAGGCTTCCCACCACAGAGGTGGTTTCATTTTATCCTTGGACCATCAGTGCATGAGGGCAACTGGTTCTGTAATCCTAGTTGGCTCTCTGGACGCAGGCAAGTAGATGCTGGCAGGACAAAACACTGTCCTTGCTCTCACAGAGTTTACTCTACTGGGGTGGGATGAGGAAGTCCATTAGTAATTACTGTAATTATCATATAATTGCAAATTATACACTTATAGCAGTAAGTCCTTAGAAGTAAAAAAAATAAGTCTGTCAACAGAGCATATAACTTGATGTGAGAAAGTGATTTGTAAACTAAGCCTTCTCATATGGGCTATTACCTCTAACAGGAGATTCCTCTGTGATAGGGCATGTGTCCCCCTAATTTGTCCTTCTATTTAAAATTAGTCTTAACTAATTCTGCTTGTTAGTTCTTCCAAATAACGAATATAATATTTTGTGATGTTCTATAAGAAATCCTCTTATCTGACAGGTACAGTGGCTCACCTCTGTAGGCCCAGCTACTCTGTAGGCTGAGGCAGGAGAATCTCTCAAGTCCAGGAGTTCGAGGTTGCAGTGAGCTATGATTGCTTTACTGCACTCTCACCTGGGTGACAGAGTGAGACCCTGTCTCTTAAAAAAGAAAAAGAAATCCCTTTATCATTCTTACTAGAATCAAAATTATGAAGAAATTTGTACAAAATTGACATTTTTATAATATTGAGATTTATTTTGCCCATAATCACTCAGTAAAAAGTTACAGGTTTATTAATTTAGGTCAGACACAGACCTGGCTATTTTAATTTTTGTTGCTATTAAGAATAGAATTTATAACTATTATATGTCAATAAAAGTTTTTAAAACCTAAAAAAGACTAGAATCACGTTCACATTACAAGTATTTTTGAAATAATAGAATACTATATCTCTTCATCTGTCTTGAGTTTGCAGTTTACTGACTTTGATTTTTTTTAAGTTGGTTCCCTTGATTTTCTAGGATTATCATTTCTCTTTCCTTTCAGTATTAATACTTGTGTCTGTATGAGTTATCCACTGTTACTTACCAAATTACCCCAAAGCATAACAACTTAAAATAACAGAAATTTGTTACCATACAGTTTCTGTGGGTCAGGATTCTGTGTGTCTAGCTCCAAGGCTGTGATCGCTTGACATTTAATGCTGATGTATAATATACATGCAGGAAAGTGCACATTTCTTAATTATACAGCTCAATGAATTTTCACAAACTGAATGCACCTGTGTAATGGAGCCCCCAGACAAGAAAGAACATTACTATTTTACTTTTTTCACTGAAGGGAATTGCCTGAGGTGATAGTTATATTGTCCAGTCATTGATAATCCACATGTAGTAAGAATGAATGTACAACTCATTATTCTCTGAAGTTTTACTTTTATCTCATTCTAAAGAAAGAGAAATTTAGATAAGTGAATACTTAGCCTTTCTGGTTCTAAGACATACCTATTATGTGGAGCTAAGAAGGTTACTTAATTTCTCTGTGCATAACTTTTCTTGTCCATAAAATGGGATTAGTAACAACACCCAGTGAAGTTATTAATATGAGGATTAAATGAAATTGTGAGACGCCTTTGAACAGTCTTGATAATGTATATAGCTCGTTATCATGTATAGAAACATTTATTTACTGTACTATACCTTTTATCATTATTTTAGAGTATACTTTTACTTATTAAAAAAAAGAAGAAGCTGGGTGAGGTAGTGCTTGCCTGTAGTCCCAGCTATTCAGGAAGCAGAGGAAAGAGGATTGCTTGAGCCCAGGAATTTTAGGTCAGCCTGGGCAACATAGCAAGATGCCATTTTTTTAAAAAAGAAGTTTTTGTTTTTGTTTTTGGAGACAGAGTCTTGCTTTTTTGCCCAGGCTAGAGTGAGTGCTGTGGTGTCAGCCTAGCTCACAGCAACCTCAAACTCCTGGTCTCAAGTGATCCTGCTGCCTCAGCCTCCCGAGTGGCTGTGACTACAGGCATGTGCCACCACGCCCGGCTAATTTTTTCTATATATATTAGTTGGCCAATTAATTTCTTTCTTATAGTAGAGACGGGGTCTCGCTTTTGCTCAGGCTGGTTTTGAACTCCTGAGCTCGAGCAATCCGCCTGCCTCGGCCTCCCAGAGTGCTAGGATTACAGGCGTGAGCCACCACACCCAGCCAAAAAAAAACTATTTTTTTTAAGTTACCTCTAAAACAGCCTCAGGCAAGTCCTTCAGGAGGTACTCCAAAAGTAGGCACTAGTAATGTGTGTGTGTGTCTTAGTTTTTAACAAAAAAATTCAAGAAAAATATTTGTGTACAGCTGTACAGTGTGTTTGTCTTTTTCGCTAAGTGTTGTTACAAAAGAGTTAAAAACTTAGGAAAAATGTTTATAAAGTAAAAACAATGTTTATGAAGTAAAAAAGTTATAGCAGGCTAAGGTTAATTTATTATTGAAGAAGAAAATTTTTTTATGAATTTAGTATAGCCTAAGTTTACAGTGTTTTAAAAGTCTGCGGTAGTTTGTACAGTAATGTCGCAGACCTTCACATTCTCTCACCACTCACTGATTCACCCAGAGCAACTTCTGGTTCTGCATTCTCCATCATGGTATGTGCCCTGTATCAGTGTACAGTTTTTTATCTTTTATACTATACTTTTACCGTAACTCTTCTATGTTTTTAGATACACAAATATTTACTGTTGTGTTCCAGTTGCCTGTAGCATTCAGTATGGTAGTAACATGATGTATAGGTTTGTAGTCTAAGACCAACAGGCTACATCACATAGCCCGTATGTGTAGTAGGCTGTCCTGTCTAGTTTGTGGAAGTGTGCTGGTACCATGTTCCCACAGCAACAAACTCTTCCTAATGACGCACTTCTCAGGATATGTCCCTTTTGTTACGTAAGGCATAACTATATTTTAGGGTGTTGTGGATCATATGATGTATTGCAACTACTCAGCTCTGTCATTGTAGTGTGAAAGCAGTCATAGGCAATACATGATGACTGATAGTGACTGTGGTTTATTAGAATTTTATGATCACTGAAGTTTGTATCATTTTCACATGCCAGGAGACATTATTGTTCTTTTGATTTTTTTTTTCTCCCCCAGCCATTTAAAAATATAAAAACCACTCTTAGAGGCTGTACAAAAACAGACGGTAGGCCAGATTTGGCCCTCAGGCCATAGTTCGCCAGCTCCTGTTTTCAGGAAATTAAATAGGTTACTATTCTAGTTCCACTAACTCAATCAAATCTTTAAATGAAATATGGAACCTACATTTCTTTTTAACTGTACTCTCCAGTCTGAGGTTT